TTAATAATTTTAATACCTAAAATATCTCTTATTTATACAAATGAGATTTCATGATTATGTTACTGTATAAGGGTATTTGAGTACTTATTTCACTCTCTCTCACAAAGGCGAACATTTGATGAGGGTTTGAATCTTATTAGAGCTAAAACTCATATTTTTATCTAATTAAATCTTAATTTTCTTGTAGATTGTCATAGAAAGATTAAGCAATTGAATCACTTAATCATCAGTGAAAATCTCATCAACGTGATTCGCAGAAAATCATTACTAAAATTATTGAACAATTTAGGATAAAAGGATCACGAATTTATAGAGTAAATCATCTCTAATTGATCGACGAATATGCCATTGTCGGGAAGAAGATGATCCACTAAGAGATGAGTCGCCACCTCTTGAGAGATGCACCCCACCTTCATCTAGCTTATCTTTGTCAGGTGTTAGTTGTCACAAATCCACAAAGTCGTCATTTTTTTACTCAGTTGAGTGATAGTCACCGAAGATGATTTGATGACTTATTTTGTTGATTTCTAAATTTCGCAAGAGGATCTAGAAATTGCTTATGTCGTCCTTGTCTAAAACATTTGAGACTATAGATATTACATGACAATCTTCTCGAATGCTTAAGATTTTGACGCATCACCAATGTATAGTTGTCGTGATGCTACAACTCTATTTCATTATTTTTTAACTAGTTTAACTTCCACTATTATTTTTTAGACTGAAAGGAGATCTAATGAATACCTAGGTCATTGATGTTCAAGGAGAGCTTTTGAGGTTGTGGACATCGTTCAATGATCCTTATGAACACAGAATTTCAACGATTACTATTGTAAGACTAGAATTCTACTTTTTCTACTTTTAACTTAATTTTCACTTAATTTAGTGACACTTTGTGTGATTTCAAGTTTCAAAAACTTTCTTCATTTCATTTTGATTCTTCTGGTTTTTACAAATCTGAATTTGACTCATTAAATCGTTTGTAATAACTTACGTAAGAATCATCAAGTGAAACTCTATTTTCATCCAAATCATTTTTCTTAGGACACTAATGTCATCCTGATGTCTGCACTCTTATTTTCTTTTTTTATAAATTTTTAAATATATTTATATTTATTAATTACTCTAAAAATTATAAAAAAATCATATTATTTAAAGAAAATTATGACATATTACTTAATATTATCTTGCATCCTTGTGATCGACTTGAAAATTTTCCACTATTTTTAAAATCTTTATCAAATAATAATTGATTTATTTATTCTAAAATATTTCTAAAAATATAAAAATTAATATTTTTTAGTTTTATAAATTTTAAATTTACATAATTTATTATACAACGACTAAGTCACATCACCTCAAAAATTTAGACAAAAAATTCTGAAAAGTGCTAACAATACTTTTGAGATAGTATAGTGGTTAGAGGTGATCAAATAGGAGTAATAAATGTATCTCTCATAAGAAAATAAGCTACCATTAAGCAATAACACTTATATATGAAATGTATCAATTTGATCAAGTCCACTATGGATCTAATATTGTCAAAATAGAGCTAATAATGTGTCTTAGAAAAGTGAGGATTTGGCATTCAAACCTTATCTGAATTGTCTTAAACAAAATGCAATTGTTAAGTAAATACATTGAACCATGATTTAAATATGTAAAATTATAATTTTGGTGATATTATATATTTAAAATAATTTTTAGAAGATACTCATTAATATTTAGAAAATCATGTCCACCAAGATGGATGATATGATTTCAGTCAATTAATTTGTTATCAAAAAAAATTGAAAGTCATGTTCTAACATCATAAGCACATTCTAGACTAAGTTTTCATACCCATATGTATTTTAGTTTTTTTATTTTATTCAGATGTACTAACATTTACTTTCTCATGATGACATATTCTGTAACTATTGATAATTTCTATAATAATATATAAAACAATTATTGTACACGATAAAATACACTAAATCAAGAAATTTTCTCAAATGAGTCTCAAATACACTCTTTGAAGTACTATTTAGATAGTTGCCACTGCTATTTAAAATTATTTCTGAATTTAGATTTGATTAAACTCATCTACATGTATAGTGATAAATAAATATAATATGATCTTTTAATTAGACTTATAAATCTTTTTCGTTGTCAAAATATAACAAATTTAGTGATCTAACATGTGCCAACTCAAGGAAAAACTTGACAGCAACAAGAGGTAAAATGTGAGATTTGTGGTAAAAAACATTCAGCAGAAGGAAAGGATAGATTACACAAACATTTTCTCTTATAGTGATGTTGAATACAATTAGATTGGTGCTGAGTATAGTAGCTGTAGAAGATCTTCATTTGGCGTAATTTGATGGAAATGCATTATTCCTTCATGATGATGTGGAGTAAAACATTTATGTGATGCAATAAGAACGGTTTGTTGTTCTTTGTAAAAAAAGTGATGTAAGTTGAAGAAAAACCTTTATAGGCTGAAGTGAGTACATGGTAATGGTACAAGAAATCAGGTGACTTTATGACCAATAATGGCTTCAAGAGATGTGAAATATCATTGCTGCTATTTGAAGAAGCTGGAGAGCTTTTATATCATCTTACTAGTTTATGTTGATGATAGGTTAATTGTAGGAGGTAACATAATAGAAAATCATCAAGTTAAAAGGGGATTTAGCAAATGAATTTACTATGAATGACTTGAGGGCATTAAAAGAAATTATCATGATGAGAATTATTGTGATAGAGGTATTGGTCTCAATAAACATATGTTGAATATGTGCTTTGTAGGTTCAACATAGAAGTTGCAAGTCTTGTGAATACCCTTTTAGGTAATGACTTCAAGATCTCTAGATTAATTTTCAAAGATAACAATGAGCAGCAAGACATGTAGATGATTTCATATGCATTTCTTATTGATTGCTTGATGTATGTTATGGTCTACACAAAACAAGGCATTGCTTATGTAGTTGGAGCTGTTAGCATGTTCATGGCAAATCTAGGAAGAGAATATTGGACAATTGTCTAATAGAAATCCATTACCTTAGAGACACCTCAAGTATGTCTCTTTGTTTTAACAGATGATTTGAAACTATGCAATTTTGCTATATTTATATTTTAGATAGTGGTGTTGACATTAAAAAACCTCATCTGGTTATATCTACACTTTTAATTGCACTATTGCGAGCTGAGTTTCTCAATTGTAAAACATTATTGTTGTTTTGATAAGTAAATTAGAGAATATGATCATTATAGAGGTAATTAAAGAAATGATTTGACAACAGAATTTCCTTACTAAATTTGATAAGAAGTAGGAAAATATTATATTGTTTTCTGACAATCAGAGTATCATACAGCTAGTCAAAAATCTGATGTTTCACTCTAGAACGAAGTATATACAAGTGAGGTATCACTTCAGAACTTGTAGGATGAAATTTTGGCACTTGAGAAGGTCACTAGACAGAGGAATACAATAAACGTATTGACTAAGGCGATCATCAGTGAAAAACTGAGGCTATGCATAACCTCAAGTGGCCTCTAGAGTTAGTTGGGTGGAGGTGTCACAGAAGGTAGAAAATAATTTGTCTGGACATTGAAAATCAATGAGTAAGTGAGAGATTAATGGAGTTGCGGATATTGATTCCTTATTGGGCCCTATTGGGCTCTAATTGGCTCTTCAGCAAGTACACAGTGAGTTGTTGGGGGGTCTAAGGGGACAGTGCCCTTGTCAGTGGGTCTAAAGAGGGGTAGTGTTCGCTGGAGAAAATTTTGACTTTTAAGGGAATATGTCCTTTGTTCCCATACAGTTTTTCCCTAATCTTGTGGTAAAAGGAGGGAGAGTCACCATTGATGTGTTAGCACGTGAGAAGGCATGTTGCCATCGAAGGGTTGTAAGAGACGACCTCCTAAAGGAAGCTTCATTTGTGTGCAACTGTGGATGTAAGAGGTTTTTTCAAACCACGTAAATCTAGTGTGTCGTCTGTTCTTGCATCAGATTTCTCACGTTGCGTTTTGCATTAAATTTCAGCTGTGAAAGATGGAGGAAAATCGGACACTCTAATCCCTAAATATTCGCTCCAGTAGACCTGGGTTCCCCAGGGTCTTATGGTCCTTTTTTCTTCACTTTCCTTCCCTGAAGAAGTAGAAGAAGAAGAATAAGAGGAAGAGAGGGAGAGAGAGAGAGAATAAGAAGAAAAGTACACTGACGGGAGGTGGCTGGTGGCGCAGGGGTGAAACTGAAGATGCTGGTGGAGAAGGGGATGATGCTAAGGTTCGCGATCGGGTGGAGCGCGACCCCCGGGGGAGTGCTGGACCGAGCCATCGAGGCCAAGGAGACCGAGACAAAGGAATAATTCGGCCTGGACCACGTGGGAGGCTACCACCAGCTCTCCACCAAGACCAGGATACTACTTCTCCACCGCCGCCTCCATCCGGGACGCTGATTTCTACGGCAAGGTTGACGACGATGTCCACATCAAGCTCGGTGATCCCCCCTCCTCTCTCGCTCCCTCTGCCTCTCTCTCTATCTGTCTCCACCTCTCCCTCTCTTTCTTTTTCTCTCTCTCTCTCTCCTCTCTCTCCTCTCTCTCTCCCTCTCTCTCTCTCCCTCTCCCTCTCTTTCTCTTTCTCTCTCTCCCTCTCCCTCTCTTTCCCTCTCTCTCTCTCCCCCTCTCCCTCTCTTTCTCTCTCTCTCCCTCTCCCTCTCTTTCCCTCTCTCCCTCTCTTTCCCTCTCTCTCTCTCTCCCCTCTCTCTCTCTCTTCTCTCTCTCTCTCCCCCCCTCCTTCCTTTAGCGGCAGTGTATGCATTTCTCGTCGGGCTGGCACCCTCTTCTTCTTCAGGGACGACGGCGGCGACGCTGTCCCGCCACTGTGAGAAGCAGGGGGTGTACGTGGGGGGGTGCAATTAGGGTACCGCACCGCGGGGAGCCTCGTCTGACTGGGTGAACGGCAGCAGGGGGGTGAAGTACCACGAGCCCGAGTTCTGGATGTTCGGCGAGGGTACTTCACCCCAGTTCTGGAAGTTCGGTGAAGAAGGGAACAAGTACTTCCGCCACGCCACCGGCCAGATCTACGCCATCTCCAAGGACCTCGCCGCCTAAATCTCCATCAACTCGTGCGCCCAAACCACACACTTCCCCCACGTTTCTCTCTCTCTGACTCTCTGCTCTTTTTCCTGCATTATTGTCTTCTCTCTCCTTACATCTCTTTCCTCTTCCTCTGTATCCCTCTCTACTCCTCTCCCTCCATCCATTTTTAACTCTCTCTCTCTCTCTCTCTCTCTCTCTCTCTCTCTCTGTAAATGGTGCACTTATTCGACTTACATGGAGGCCCATACTGCACAGGTACACGAACGATGATGTGTCCCTCGGATCCTGGCTGATCGATCTCGTCCTCCAACTGGATGACGCATTCCCCCGGGTAGGTACCCCGCCTCCCCATCCTCCCACTAATCGGATTTCCCTCGGGATTGTTTGGCCCCGGAATCGGGCCCAAAGGGACGAAAATCAGCCGACGATGGTGGCACCCGCGATCTCCTCTCTCATCGTCGCCGTCGTCTTTTCTGTAGACTCAGAGTGGAAGACCCGGGCGGGGAACATCTGCCTGGCGACCTTTGATTGGTCCTGCAGTGGGGTCTGCAAAGCCGCTGACCGCGTGGAGGTAGTCCACCGCACGTACGGCGAAAGCGAGGCGGTCGTCTGGAACGTGGCTCTCTAAGGAGACATGATTCCGTAGCTTCCAGGGGGAACACTCCAGGGGAGAGAGAGAGAGAGAGAGAGAGGATGATACTCACAAAGGTTGAAGCAAACGCCTGATGGTCGATGGAGAGTGGGAGAAGGAGATGGATATGCATGAGGGTTAGGGGGCCTTCATAGGTATCATTTGCCCCATGAATTACTTAGTGTTCGAAGAGAAAGAAGAGGAAGTTTAACACAGGTAGATCAGTCACACATGAGATGCATGCAGGGAACTATCTGATTACGCATGGAACTCCAATCCCCACCCAAAATGCTCTCTAGGATTGTATCCCTTTTGCCACCGGTATTTCTGACCGCCGTCGCCACCTAATTGCCGAACACCGCCAGGTCGGACGGCGAGATGAAGAAGAACCAAATTTTTAATCAGTAGAGCTGCAGTGACCAAGCGGTGGGAAGCAGCTGAAGGGTTTTTTAAAAATAGTAGTTCTCAGAAATGAACACATATTATATACTAAGTTAATTAAGCTAACTAAATGTATAAATCCAGTTGTAGACAATGATGGGGTTATTCATAACTGGATGGCTTTGACGACTTCTAAAACAAAATTAGTCTCTGACTGATGATTTAAGTCAGTTATCCTGGGGGAGTTGCAAACTTGCCCGCCTAATTTATTTCATCCTTCACTATGACAAAAGGGAAAATTGCCACTTCGTCGTCGTAAGACTTGCTTACAATGCGACACCAACGAAGGTGTTGATTTTCACGAGTTTAATAACTCCGTGGATGCGATAGCGAGAGAGAAAGCTTTCGCATCAAGTCACCGCTAGGGAAAATTTTCAAACCTGCAGCTACCTTGATGGAACATGGCCGCAAACAGGAAGAAGTCAAAGGCGTGGGCCATGAGCCCCTTTTGGACCGCGACAAGGCTCCTCAGACCGATTCACACGACAATAAAAGAATATCTTATTTTACTTCTTTCAGTGGTCCTTCGGATCAAGCAGGCGCCCGTAACCCCTTCGCCACCGTCCCTCAACTCCTATAAATTGGGGCGCTGCCCGCTGATTCTCAGCATCAAACACCAAAGCTCGGGAGAGAGCAGGCGGTGGAAGGGTTGGGCGGAGGAGGTTAGGTTTACAAGTTTCAGCGTCCCCTCCGAAGGGTCAAGTAGCGACGACGCCCATGACGGCTGTCCTGGCCCTTCTCTTGGCCTTGAGCGGTATGGTAGTGACCTCTGCTGCCAAGTGCCCGTCCCCTTCTCCACCTCCTTACCATTACAAATCTCCACCACCTCATCCACCTAAGGAGCACTACCCTCCTCCTCCAAAGAAGCACTACTACTACAAGTCCCCCCCACCGCCTTCTCCTCCCAAAAAGCACTACTACTACAAGTCCCCCCCACCGCATTCTCCTCCCAAAAAGCACTACTACTACAAGTCTCCCCCTCCACCTCCTCCGAAGAAGCACTACTACGATAAGTCTCCCCCGCCACCCCCTCTGAAGGTGCACTACTACTACAAATTACCGCCGCCACCACACAAGTACTGATAACATCTCTATTGGGGTCATTTATGGCCAATTGTAGTGAAATAAGAGCCAAAGTCATCTCTATCCCAAGGGCGTAGGGTACTCTGGATTGGATCCAGAATCAGGCAGCTGTTGGGCATAGAGGAACAAGACTTGGAAGCCTTCATGTTATGAGAAATGTTCTACTTTATCACTAGTTCATAAGTTTCTATAGAATAATGTGTTACTAAACTCAGTCTGGCCTCTTTAGCATTATTTTGTTAGATGGGCCGGTTTCCTTTATTCCAGATGCTCTAGTTTGTAAGATTTATTATTCTAAATGCTCTAGTTTGTAAGATCAAAGTCAATAATGAGCAAATTGACATTAAAGAAAAATTTATTTGAGTTACACATGTTAGATAAAGATGATTTTACATCTCATATTAATTATTTTAATTAATTGTTGAATGACTTACTTCATATGAAATCAGATTTTTCTAATAAAAAAAAAGTTATTATTCTACTTATTTCTCTTTTTTATTCATATGATCATCTTGTTACGACCTTATTGTATGGTAGTGCAGCACCAATTTTTTAAGATGTTATTAACTCATTGATGGAATATTATCATCGAAAGAAGAAATATTGGTGAGGCTCATGGTGAAGGTTTATATGTGAATGGTAGAATAGAATGTGAAAGATAGAAGGAGAAGCGATCATCAAGAGATAAGAAAAGTTGATATAAGTCATAGATAAATTAGTTGAAAAATTAAAGTTGTCACAAGTGTCATGAAAAGGGACACTTGTGAAGAAATTATTTCAAGAATTGGAATGATAAGGCAACAAAAGGTGAATCTAGTTCGACTAATGTTGTGAAGGTTGATGATAGAGAAGATGGTGGTCTGTTTTAATCTTGTTACAGTTGAGGAGTTGTCGAACACATGAATTCTTGATATTGGTTGTTTTTATCATGTGTCATAATGTTGACTAGCTTGACTCACATAGGAGTGTAATAGGAGTTCTATGAGAAACAATGTAACTTGCAAAGTTGTTGGCATTGACTCAATGAAGGTTTGAATATTTGATGAAGTGATCTGAGAGCTTGGAAATATTTGTCATGTTCTAATATTGCATCAGAATTTAATTTCACTTAGAGTATGGGAAGCGAATAGATGTCATGATGTGCACTTGTCATTGTGTTTAAATACATATTATTTAATTATATTTATAGCTAAAACTTAATAAAATACTAGTATAGAAGTAAGTCTCAAGTCAAACACAAAGAGACTGATTAATCCATCTTGAAAACTAATTTAGTTTATATATAAAATAATTTTAATATTTTATTAATATTAAATGGAAATAATAAAATAGAAAGGTGAAGTGAGAAGAATAAAGGAAGGGAAGCAAAGAAAAAGGAGTAAAAGAAAGAAGAGAGAGCTCTCATGAGAGAGAGAAGGGATCAGATCTCTCGTGAAGGGTAGAGAAAGAGAGAGGAGGAAAGAAATCTCATGTGAGATGGAGAGAGAGAAAGAGAAGGAGATTAATCGAGAGGGAGGGAGAGAAAGAGAGACATCTCACAAAAGATAGAGAGAAAAGAGAGGTCTCACGAGAAAAAGAGAGAGAGAAATAAGATGAAAATAAAGGAAGAGAGAAATATAGTCAACTTATTTTCACAATGACCATTATTCTCGGATGAATGTGTGCTTGAGGATTCACACACATGACATGAGGTCAGCCGTGAATGTCTCCACATTATTTTAACTATTGAACACTCATTAATCAACCTTTAATCTTAGTGATTTCACGTTCAAAAATAAAAAAATACTCATTATTCGTGGAACGCCGAAAATGTAAATACATAGAGAAGATTCAACTACAAAAATTAATAGAAAATAAGTTGAAAATGATCATAGTTTACTCTCAGATGAGTTTCGGAGGATTTAGAAGAAGAACGAAGATCATTCATTAAGTTTTGAATTAGTTCTACTCATTTCAATCAAAATGTGCATGGAATGAAAATAACTTGCTGTAAAATGTAAATAAATGACAAAAAAAGATAAGTAAATGCTGAAAGTAAGAAATAAAATATTGCTCAAATTTAGTCTGCCTCCTAGGCAATTGGAGACACTAGTGTGACAACTTGGTTTCATTCAAATGTGTCACATCACGTTGGAAGTTTTAGAAATATCATCTAGAGGTGCTATGATGCTTACTAGAGAGATTCGCTGAAAGAGGGGTCGACCACACTATCATCGTCGTCTGGGGGGAGTAGGAAAGAGTTGACCACTCATCAGAGACCTTGAGTTCAATCGTGGGAGGAAGGAATGAGCTTGCCAATCATTGGAGACGTTGATCATACAAAAAGAGGGAAGAATGGATGCTTATTTTCGTGTTAACTATCGAGATTTTAAAGATAATCAATAATGTTTATTTTACCAGATAATAATTAATTATTATCTTTATATCCCTAACGATGATACGTGTGAGAGCTGAAGTTCTCGGTATCATGGCCTTTCGTGAGTTGCTAGATCAGATGTGCTTGGTCACGTGGCGCGCTGAGCGACATAGGATAAACTTGCCACAAACTACTACTCAGCACTCCACGTGACCAAACTCCTTTGATCTAGTGGCTCCTAAAGTGCCACGATACTAGGAACTTAAGCTTTTGCATGTATTACCATTAGGGATATAAAGACAATAATTGATTATTATCTAGCAAAATAGATATTATCGATTATCTTTAAAATCCCGATCTTTGGCGATTGACAAGTTTGTTCCTTTCTCCCCCAACTGCACTCAAGGCCTCCAGCGAGTGGTCAGCTCTTTCTTTCTCCTCCCAAACGATGGTGACAGTGTGGTCAACCTCTTGGATCATTCTGACAAGTGACATAACACTTTCAAATGACACTTCTGTGACTTTCGACGTGACGTAGCACATCTAGACAAAGCCGAGCCGCCACACCAATGTCTCTAATTGTCTAGGAGGTAGATTAAACTTGGCTAATGATTTATTTCTGCTTTTAATATTTACTTATTGACTTTTGTTATTTATTTATATTTTATGACAAGTTATTTTAGTTTCATGCACATTTCAATTGAAATGAGTAAAACTATTTCAAAACTTGATGAATGATCTTCATTCTTCTTTTGAATCCTTTCAAACTCATCTGAGATTAAGTTGAGATTATTTTCAACTTATTTTCTATTGATTTTTGTAGTCAAATCTCAATGTATTCATGTTCTTGGTATTTTACAAATAATAGTTATTCTTCTATTTTTAAATGTGAAAATCACCAAAATGAAAAATTGCTTAATGATCATTGAACTGTTAAAACAATGTGGAGACATTCATGACTGACCTCATGTCATGTGTGTGAATCTTCGAGCACACATTCGTAAATGGTCTCTCGTGACCGTATCTCTCTCTTTCTTCATTTTCATCTTATTTCTCTCTCTCCATCTCTTGTGAAACCTCTCTTCTCTCTCTGTCTCTCGTGAGATCTTCTCCTTTTCTCTCCCTCTCTCTTGATTGATCTCCCTCTCTTTCCTTCTCTTTCTCTCTCGTGAGACTTTTCTCTCTCTTCATCTCAATGAGATTTCACATGAGATTTTCACCAAGCTGAAAATAATTTAAGAAGTGTTAAATAACTAATCATTTGTTTGTTCTTATGGGACAAAAGAACAAGAACATGTCATTGACAAGTCAATGTCCAACAAAGAGTTGATTCATCCAACACTATGACATTTGACGTAAGAACAAATAATAGGACTTAAGGAAATTTCAAACCACAACAAGGATACAAAAATGACTTATATTGTATGCATTGCAATTTTAGAGGTCATATTGTGGACAAATGCTACAAGTTACATGGATATCCACTAAGGTATAAGTCAAAAAATAAATATTGTGAGGTCAACGTCAATCAAATCTCCTAAAGTTTAGACTCTAACAATTAAGCATAATATGTAGAAGAGATTAGAAGCTTAGTAGATGCTTTTACTAAACCTCTTCCCTCTCCTCATTTGTCCCTTTTATTGTCCAAGATGGCTGTTAAGAATATGTACAGCACATATTGAGGGGGGAGTCTTAGGTATTAGGTTCCTCTGTATGTGAGTGAGAACAATGTAAACTTGTGTATAATATTCACTTTAATATGAAACGAATTGAAGGTTTTTCTTTCACTCCATTTTTCCCCTTTTCTCCTCTATAGGCAATAGCTTTTGGATGGACCAATTCTCTTTCGTCCACATCTACCTGAAGCCAAGATGGATGTAATACACATCAAGGATAGTGGTGATGATGAGGGGGTGGGAGTGGGAGGGAATTCCAAAGGACGTTCATGGTCGTGGGTATCAATTCTGCTTTAAAAGTAAGAATCATTGTGACTTGTGTTTGAACATGGAGGTTAATCTCCTATTGGGCCCTATGGGCTCCAAGGGGCACTTTGACGAGTAGAGTAAATCCAATGTGGTCTATTATTATCATCTCCTTCTCCCTCTCCTAGATTACATTTTGTATCAGATTTCCATGGTGCAAGAAGTGAGAAATGAGGAGAGAAATGAGGACTCTCCAATCATCAAGAACTGGTATTTTAGCCTTTGGGTTGAGGTTATCCTAGGCTTTCGATCACATGTACTTTGTGAATTCAGTTCAAAAGAAAGAGTGGGAACCATGGCTTGATGTAAAGGAATGTCAATACTGACATGATCAATGGAAGAGACTTCATATTTTAGAAGATGAAGATAGAGGATTATTTATTTCAAAAGAAGTTCTATCTATGACTTCGTGATTTGAAATTGGATAATATGTCTGAAAAAGATTGGGAGCTGATGGACAGGCAAATTTTCTAAGAAGTTTGTTTGATCTTAGTTAGAAATATTACATTTAACATTCTAAATGAGAAGGTTATAACAAGACATGATGGCTCTCTCAAATAGGTTTGATAAGTTAACAACATCAAATAAGGTGTATTTCATGCATTGTCACTTCAATTTGAAGATCAAAGAAGATACATACATTGTACATCACATTTATGATTCCAATTTGATAATCAGCAAGTTGAGTTCTATGGAGTTTGATTGCGATGATTAAATCACAGCATTTATTCTACTATCTTCTTTACCCAATAATGAGCCACGATACTTACTGTCATCAATTATTTAAGTTAAAGAAAATTGAAATTGGATGAAGCATGTGACCTGATTTTAAGAGAGTATATTTATAGGAGATGGTCACGTAGTTAGTGTCTTACAATCACTAGGACTCCAGTTGGTGTCTATGAACCTTCATTATTTTCAGATTCTCCATTCGTATTGTTCCATTACAATACAAGGCATCCAAAGACTGCTGGCAACCTTCAAATCATCTGTTGAGTCGTACTACCCACCCATGGATTCAGAAATTTGCCCAAAAAATATTGTACTTCTTTATTGTTTTACTTACTCAAAAAGTCATCCAAGAAACTACATTGGAGAACACCTCATCGTAAAGAACAATGATACAAGCCATAATACCTCTAAGTAGTAAACTTACGATGTTCATACAAAGATGAAAGATTCAATGCCCCTGATATAAAAATGAAACTGAAGAAGCCGTAAAAAGGTCACTAACATAAAAGTTTAAGATGATATTTTTAAACAAGGGTGTATAATCTAAGCTCTCACAGAAAGTTCCTTGTTCATAAAAAAATCGATGCATTCATATAATGTCATACATGAGAATGTTCTCGACATACGCATTTCAGGGGTTAGGGCTTCAATGCACAACAAGTATGAATGACTTATTACCACTTTCTCTTTCCCAGAAATATCTTTCAGTTCCTCTTCAGTCAATGAAGAAAAAATTGATCCAGCCGTGTTCCTTGTTCAGAATACAAGGCCCTTGGTTATGGAAACCTAACTTCTATCTTGTCAGCATCGAGTACAAAAAAATTCGATCCACTTTCTTCAACCAAATGAACCTCTCACTTTATCTCAGGTTAATGCACAGTTCCCCATTCAAAAGACATGGGAAATTTGAGGCAAATGTTCCAGAATGTATTCGTCTACTGCTCATGGGAAAGACATGAGCAGCCGATGTTCATAAGTTATCATTGCATAACCGTGGAATCTTTACTGCCAAAATTAAACTCTAGCAGTAAGCAAATGATACAAATAATGCTTGCAGTGCATGAAAGGAGAACAAAGGAGTTAAATACGCTTAGAATATGAGATGTCACCGAGGGGGAGGAGAGAGCAAATTTTACAAAAATAACGACGTATGTGAGGAAAGTGATCCGCTTTGCTAAGAATGTGGATTCTTCTAAAATCTTGGAAGTTGAGCCACCCTATCTGGGGAATATGCTGTAGACCCATCATGTCTTAATAGGTCCAGACAACCAACGGCCAAATTAGGTTTTCTAGCCAAACAGTTCCAGTGATGAGAAGGGGATGAGAACCGCATACCTACAATGTCCGGCACCAGGTTCGTTTCCACGAGAAGCCTCGCCAGATCCCGCACGCGAGCGTCCGAGCTCTACGGCGGAAGCCCAACCGCACCCCCGCGGAACGTAGGGCGACAATCAGTAATCCGAACGGAAGAAATCACGCGAGTTGGACGCCGAGAACAAGACGAAACAAAACCCTTACGCACCACATCGACGGTGGAGAAGAAGTGCCTGGGAGCGGCAGCTCCCGCCGGAGTGACGGCGGCGACCTCCGCCTGGAGGGATTGGACCTTCTCTTGGGAACGCGCGCAGCCGACGACGGTGTGGCCTCTCCTTGCCATCTCCAGGGCCAGCACCTTCCCCAGCCCTCGGCTCACTCCAGTTATCATCACCGTCTTGGAAGAAGGAGACGCTGCGCCGGCCATGGTAGCCCCAGTCGACCGGTCTCCCTTTCCACTGCGCTCCTTCTCCGCTGCCCTCGCCGCCGAGCCTCCCTGCCGCCTCTGACGACCTCCCGTCCTCTGGTTTGCGCGGCAAAACACGATGATAGACCTCCTCCAACGTCACTTTTTTCTCCACATGACAGATATCTGACGGTAAACCTCTCCGATCTTCCGCCATAAAAAAAAAGCCCCATGATTCAGGCCCCCAATTTTTATTTAATTCTAGAACTCACTAATCTTAATAGTTTTACTAAAATTACCCATAAAATAATAAATTATATTGAAGACCAGATGAAAATCCTCCAACGTCACTTTTTTCTCCACTTAGCAGACATCCGGTCAAAGCCTACTGCTTCAGGCCCTTCAATTTTATTTAATGAAAAACCCATTAATTACTTAAAAGACCACAACAAAATTATTAATTCAAAGGCATTCAAAACGAGACTTAAAAATAAAGAAATACACATATATTATTACTTTACTATTATTCAATTTATATTATACATTGTAATGTTTGATTGGCCCACAGGGCTGGGACCGAGAACCCAATTTCTGGGCTCACATGGGCCACAAGACTGGGCCATGGTCAAATCCCCCTAGCTTGGGCCGACTAGCCCCTCTTGAGACCACCAGTCTGGGGCAGGGAGGTCCCCCCATATTGGGAGCCCAAGGATAAAAACGCTTTTTACTAATTGAATAAATACGAGGGTTTTTTATACTTCATTACATGTCGCGGGTGTTATAAATAAAAATCATCATCGCCCAACCCCTGTCAGTGTAGCCGCATTGAAGACGGGTGCCCAATCCAGTGAAGCACGTATCAAGGTACAAAAGTTTACATACGCACCCTGAGAATAGCCAAAATTGCTTCAATGTGTCAGGTTGTCTTCCTAGGCCAGATCTTCGTGATAGAGGTGAAGGCCAAGCCCGAGGCGAGCGCAGGCCCGTCGGAAGGCCATTGCTTCGGCCTTCTGCACAGGATCCCCATAGCTTGTGTCGTCCACAGATGCTGTTCCAGTGGATTCCCGATAAATCTGGAAGCCATTCATCAGGCAAAGAAGAATCTTTTTATGGAAAAATTGATTCAAGCAATAATGTGAACTCATGAGATGGATAAACCACATTTGTCTTAAAATATCGATGGCAGTAAGAAGATGAACCCATGATATCAGATGCAGAAGATCTGACGAGTGGCGAATTATGGTGGATTAGAAAGCGATGAAACGGATCAAATCTGGAACTCATTCGTCAGATGGAGCACATATTTCTTCTAAAAAAACCGATGGCAGTGGTGAGATAAGCTCGCGAGTTGAGCATGTGGAGGATCTAACTAGTTCATTCACCGATGTTGGTGTGTAGTTCATGATTAATTAAATTGATCTGAAAAGGATTCCGGAGAATTAAATCAATTAAAAGTTGTAAATTCAGGCAATGATGGAATAAATAAATGGGTTTTTAGATCTTAGTCAGCTGTTACAGCACCCCTGTTTGGTGCTGCTGGGATCACACCTTCAAGATCCATCTCTTCTTCAGGCAGCAAAAATACAGAAAGAAGATCTGTCCAAGAACAACTAGATTCTACTCTTGAAACGTCCTATTGTTGATCAACACAATGAAAGAAGACGGTGAAGCCATGCTTCTTTTGTCAATAATATACATGTCAACATATGAGACATCCAATCTAATCTTTGACATTTAAAAGAACCCTACGTCACAATTTTGAAGCTATTAGCTGATAAGATGAAGATGACAGAACGCGTCTTAAGAGTGGATAGCACAAGGACAATTATTTTTGAAAAGAAATGATAGAATTATACACGGGAGAGAAATAAGCCTGCATAATTCCAATGTACAGAATTATAAATAAAAATTAATACAGAGTCTGCGAATGGTTTACAGAAACATTAACTGAGCTCAGAAAATACCTCCGCATCAGTTCCATAGAGAGTCACACGGTAGATGACTGATACTGACTTGCCATCAGCTGAATACGTGATGCTTCTAACCTCACCTGACCATTCTACAAACCCAAGAAAGAAAAATTAACCGACAGTCTCCTATTGAGCAACTGGGACAAGAAGAAGAAGAAAAAGAAGCACCCGGGGCCTGCATATTCATAATCCGATTCACAATATGCCTGCAAGAAAGTGAGGAAGAAAATGAACTTAGTAGTAGCAGAAAGTTTCACACGAGAAAGAAACAATCGAAATAATAATACACAGAAAGAGTAATAATCAACTACGTAAAACTCTCTGATCAAGACAATTTTCCTAGTTGACATTTCAAGAAAAAAAAAAAACAAAGAAAATGCGAGTTCATGAATGATTCAAAAATCAAAGATCATCACACATTAATAAGAGTTTATTTGATCTCGTGGGTGCCTGATCAGTAGAAGAGGATGGGCTCAAAAGGTATTAGGCTCCCTTAGAGAGAAAGATCAAGCAAAAATAAGGCAGTTTAAAAATAATTTAATTAATAGGGTAATATATCTACCAAGGCACTGTGAATGATAAGTGGCATAAAGGGGGAGAGAAAGCGAGAGAGATGAGCTACGTCGATTGGTGATATTGAAGGTGTTGGGGAGGGCCAGAGAATGAAAATGATAGAATAAAAAGCATGCAACTGATAGTTATGATAGCCATTGTCAGCAATGTGGCATCCGTCAATCTCCACTGACCTTCTGACAAAACTTTCTTATCAAACGGCAAATCTAACATTCTAAAGGAGGAAATCTCCATGAAAATGTGGCATATGCGGTAGATGTTCTCTCTAGTTCTATAGCACGGTTGGAAGTGATCATAGAAAATCCTCCAAAGACCTTCCACAAGTTGCCCGTAGGTGACTTGTAGTTCAAAGGGATCAACGCTATCTACTCAATCTCCTCTTTCAAAAAGAATGCGTCAAGAATTTAGAACCACCGGCGAATTAGTTCTCAATGGAATACACATGAGGGTCATATACAGAGTTTAAAGGACGCGCTTCAACAGCTTCTAAGGCCATTACCACAGCCAAATACTTAGTTCTATGATAACGGAAGATAGACGCATTTGCTCCATGAAACTGAGACCTGTGTCTGGTGCGCTAGGTTATCTAATGCCCTGGAAATCGTTCTATTATCCGCTGAAACTTCAAATGAGAGTTGCCTAGGTCAATCCCAAGCTCACAATCATTTTACCGTCCCCTTCACATACCTAAGGCACTCTTCAAAATCCTCCCCTCTTCGCGCAGGCATCAAATGCGGTATCACAAAACTTCCCCCAGAGCTCTCTCTAGCCGAAAGGAGCATTAATCCACAAACAATGTGCCAAACTATGGAGATATTCGGCGGAAATTGGACGTGAGCACATCCGAAAAGTCATACACTGACAGGAAAAGCCGCAAAAAACTATGGATGCATACATAGCAGAGGCCAGAAAGAAAATGACGGTCGTACGTCAAAAAATTGCAGCAATGAAGAGGGTAAAGCATCTACGATTCCGAACCAGGGGACGTATTTGACTTCCGTGCCGTCTTCCACGCGAACCTTGATGACGGACTCAGGGACTCGCTTGCTGAGTTCTCGCAGGACCTCAGCGAGGGGCCGGCTGATTCCCGACGTCGGGATCTCCTCCTCGATCACCTCGGGGGGAGAAGGCCGACCTCTGGCCGCCAAAATCCGGGTGCCGGCGAAGGTCGATGCATTCCTCGACGGAGGGTTAGCCATCGTCATCCTCGAGAGGATCCTTCTAGCGTAAGAAGCCATGGGCGAGCCGAGCTGAGCACTTCTTGTTGAAGGCAGTGGGAGTTTATGAAAAACCTCGGACACCGATGGTTATTGCCACCTTTGGTGAGCATTAGCAATCTATGACCTCAACTCCTTTCGCCATCAGCCGACTGTCCATCTGCCAGGCCACATACCATCTTGCTCTTCCACGTGGCAATGGGACTTACGGACCACTGGGCCTCCATCAAGCCCAGCGCCAAGACAGAGAAAGAAGAAGAGAGAGAGAGAGAGAGAGAGAGAGAGAGAGGGACTGGCTACTCATATTTTTCTTTATCGTCTTTATTTTAAAATAAAATATAGAAAAAAGAAAATGATTAAAGGGCCGGGTTGAGGTTTATACTCTAAAGGGGCCATACATCTGTGTACCTAAAGACAGGTACTAAATAAAAAGGATATAATTCTATTTAGAAAAAGTATTATGGTCGTTAAGCGGGGTGCGCCTGGGCTGCATGACTCAACTGCCCCGTGGCCCTACCCTCCCCCTCCCCAGCCCTTCATCCCCCGTGGCCCCTCTCTCTCTCACACCATCTGTCTATCTTTATCTCTATCTCCCTCTCTCTCAACCCTGTCGCCAGCAAGAGCTGGGAGAACCCTCTCTCCTCTCTCTCTCTCTCTCTCTCTCTCTCTCTCTCTCTCTCTCTTTCTCTCTGTTTATCTGGGATGACCTTCAATCAGCAGGGGTTTTTAATGTGTTACCCTGAAAGCTTCAAATAACTCTTACAGAGGAAGTGAACCACGCTGATTATGAGAGCAGAAATACCCTCATCGGCTTCTTCTTGATCCCACCGGAGTAGTCCCGACGCTTCACCACTGGTCTGATACTCGTCCATGGCGGCGCCGCTGCAGATGGAGAAGAAGCCGCTGGCGAGGGTCCTGCCGGGGAAGGCGGTGGCCACCCTCTGCGCGGTCAGCTTCGTCCTCGGCCGGGTGAACGGCATGAAGTGTACGTGGGCTGCATGATGTCCGGACCGGTGCTGTCCCAGGAATATTCATTCCCTCGAGCTTCATCAAGATCCTGGCCAAGAGAGCACCGCACCGCGGGGAGCCTCGTCTGACCGGGTGAACGGCAGAACAGGGGTGAAGTACCACGGCCCGAGTTCTGGAAGTTCGGCGAAGAAAGGAACAAGTACTGCCGTCACGCCACCGGCCAGATCTACGCCATCTCCAAGGACCTCGTTGCCTACATCTCCAACAACTCGTGCGTCCACTCCACATACTTCCCCCTCGTTTCTCTCTCTCCCTCTCTGACTCTCTCCTCTTTTGCCTGCATTATTGTCTACTCTCTCCTTGCATCTACCTTCTTCGTTTCTCTTTCCCTCCATTCATCCCTCTCTCTCTCTCTCTCTCTCTCTCTCTCTCTCTCTCTGTCTGTAAATGGTCCGAGTTCCATACATGCCCATACTACACAGGTACGCGAACGAGGACGTGTCCCTCGGATCCTAGCTGATCGGCCTCGACGTCCTCCACGTGGACGAGCGCACCATGTGCTGCGGGACGCCCCCAGGTAGGTACCCCACCTCCCGGTCCATGCAGGCCCCCGGAATTGGACCCAAAGAGACGAACCCCTACCAATATCTCTCTCATCGCCGCCGCCATTCTCTCTGTAGACTCGAGTGGAAGACGTAGGCGGGGAACATTTGCGTGGCCAGTTTTGATTGGTCCTGCTGTGGCGTCTGCAAAGCCGTTGACCATATGAAGGAAGTCCACCGCACGTGCGGCGAGGGCGAGGCGGCCGTCTGGAACGTGTCTGTCTAACTAGACACGAGCGAGAGAGAGGGAGAGAATGATAGTCACAGAGATTGAAGCTAAGGCCTGGTGATCGAAGGAGAGTGGAAAAGGGAAACGGGTGTGTATGAGGCCTAGGGAGCTTACAGCTATCATTTGCTCCTTCAACTACTGTTCTTAGGAGGAAGGAGAAGTTTAACACAGCGATCAGCCGATTCGGATTGGGATCGGTGTGTTCCTATATGATTTTTCAAGGAACTCCAATCCCCACCTAAAATGCTCTCTATAATTGCATCTCATTCGCCGGCGTTGCCACCGGATCTACCGAACACCGCCGGGGCGGATGGCGAGGTGAAGAAGAACCAAAGTTTTAATCAGTGGACAAAGAGTGGGAAGCAACTGGAGGGTTTTTTATGAACACATATTCTTATAAATCTAGTGGTCCACAATATTCAACAGTAGGTGGTTTATTCATATCTGGATGGCTTTGAAGTCTTCTAAAACCCAATTAGTCTCCAACTGATGACTTGGGGAGTTGCATACTTGCCCATTTAATTTGTTTTATCCTTCACTGTGACTGGATCCTACTTGGAGCCTTTAGTGACACGGGTAAGTCCAGAGCCCAGCTCGGCCTGGATGGCCACTTACATTTCCTCGGGCCGGTCCAATGAACAGATTCAATGCTTATTTTCTCATGCCGTGGTTATCGAAGTATCAACTCTGTGTTAACCTTCTCTCTCTCTCGCGCGCGCGCGCGAGCGTTATAGTGACGCCCTGGCCGGCCCTATCAACTTTGTGATAATCAGCTAAAATCCGTCTCCGTCTTCACCAACACGGCCGACGACAATAAAACAGATGAAAAATGGCCACTTCGTCATCGAAAGACTTGATAACAATGCGGCCGGAGTGTTTCCGCATGTAGCCACTGCTTCTGTCTCAATGGGGAACACTTTCAAACCTGCAGCCACCGTGATGGAACATGGCCGCGAACAGGAAGAAGTCATAGGCGTGGACCATGAGCCCAGTCGGACAGCCACAAGACCCCTCCAACCGATTCTCAAGAAAATAATAGAATATCATATTTTTCTTCTTTCAGTGGTCCTTCTTTGGATCAGGCAGGCGCCCGTAACCCGTTCGCCACCGTCCCTCAACTCCTATAAATTGGGGCGCTGCCCGCTGGTTCTCAGCATCAAACACCAAAGCTCGGCAGAGAGCAGGCGGTGGAAGGGTTGGGCTGAGAAGGTTAGGTTTATAAGATTCGGCGACCCCTCCAAGGGATCGGGTAGCGATGACGGTCATGGCGGCAGTCCTGTGTCTTCTCTTAGCCTTGAGCGGTATGCTGGTGATCTCCGCTGAAAAGTACCCAACTCCTTCTCCACCGCCTTACCATTACAAGTCTCCACCACCACATCCACCCAAGGAGCACTACCCTCCTCCTCCGAAGAAGCACTACTACTACAAGTCACCACCACCGCCCTCTCCTCCCAAGCACTACTACTACAAGTCCCCCCCTCCTCCCAAGGTGCACTACTACTACAAATCACCGCCGCCACCACACAAATACTGATAACGTCTCTTCTGGGGCCATTTATGGGCAACGGTAGTGAAATAAGAGCCAGAGTCATCCTTACTACATAGCGCAGGGTACTCTGGATTGGATCCAGAACCAGACAGCTGCTGTGCATGAAGGAACACGAGTGGGAAGCCTTCACGTTACCAGAAATGTTTTACTTTATCACTAGTTAATAAGTATATGTAGAATAACGTGTTACTGGATTCAGTCTGGCCTCATTAGCATTGTTTCGCCAGATGGGCCGGTTTCCTTTATTCCAGATGCTCTCGCTTGTAAGACTTATTAAATAAACCGTATTTGCCGCACCTCTCTGTCTGTCTCTCTCGTTTTATAAATCTATCTCTCTCTCTCTCTCGTTCTATAAATCTCTCTATCTCCCTCTCTCTCTGGCCTGTCGGTAGCAAGAGCTGGGGAGAACCCTCTGTCTCTCTCTCTCTCTCTCTCTCTCTCTCTCTCTCTCTCTCTCTCTCTCTCTCTCTCTCTGTTAATCTTCAATCAGTAGGGCTTTTTGATGAGGGGAAACGCTGAAAGCTTCAATTCGGAGAAAGTGAACCACGGACTATCTGAGCTGGAATCCACCCCCTCAACTTCTTCTTGATCCTGCTGGTGCAGTCCGATGCTTCACCGCTGGTCTGATACTTGTCCATGGCGGCGCCACTGCAGATGGAGAAAGAAGACACGGCTAGCTTCATCCTCAGCCAGCTGCACAGCGACAGGACGTCGGCGGCGCTGCTCAAGGGGCCCTGCTCGACTGAGAAGACCTCCACCGTCTTTGAGAGAAACGACGGGCGGAGAGACGTGATGGGGGAGGTCAAGAGCACCCGTGAAGCCCTGAAGTGAGCTATCCTTCCCCTTCCTTCCTCACTCTCTAAATTATTCAAGGACAGTAGCACCTCAGTGTACATCAGCTCTCTGGAAAACACGATATCCTTCCTGGAGATGGAGCTGGCCACAATGAAGACGTGCGGCGGTGATGGTTGGTCGGCAGTGGGAGGGAGTGTGGGTATCAACTCTGCTTTTAGTAGTAGTAAGTAGTGGGACTCTGTCGGAGTTGTGAAGGTTGTCCTCCTGTCAAGCCCTATTGGGCTCTAATGGGCTCTTTAATGAGTACGCGTAGATCTGATGTGTGATCTATTCTTGTCATTTTCTCCCTCTCCCTCTCTCATGTTGCATTTTGTATCAGATTTTTACTATGCAAGAAGGGAGAAACGAGAGACTTCAATCGTCAACAACTGGCTTTAGAACCTTTGGTTTGAGGTTATTCCAAACTTTATAATATATTTTCTTGATGAACTCAGTTTGAAAGAAAAAATGATAACAATGACTAAAGATATAGAGAATATAAGAATAAATATTCAAGTATAAGATCATAATAACAACAGAAACTCAATTTCTAAATATCACTAAGAGTAAATAGAAAATAAATCACTAATTATTAAGAATTTTGATGAGAACAAGACTTCTACTAGACACCTTTAATTCACATCTCAACATTTTTGAAATGACCCACACATTGGAGAGTCAATAATTGACTCTTATCTTTTTTGATAAAGACTTCACTTGTAATAAAAAAGAGAGAAGAGACCAAGAAAGAAGAAGATAATTTGATGAAGAGAGAGAATAGAATCAAGAAAGAGAAATAAATCTTATCATTCGTCTTACTCAAAAAAGAGGAAATACATGCCCTATTTATAGAAAATAAGAAAAGATAACCACCCCCTTAAAAAGAGGTATCTCGACCTATGTATAAACGAGCCAACACATTTCAGAGGTGATGGTTTAAACCACCCTCATTTCTCACTCCCTCTCTCCCGATATGACCCCCAAATAGGTCAAAAGAGAGGAAGTGACAACCATCTCTCTCTCCTTGCATGACCCCCAAATGAGTTAGACAGAATGAGGTGACAGCTATGTCACTGTCCCTCACTCCTCACACATCTCCCAAGTGAGTCAGATGGGAGAAGATTTCCTATAAGTCTCCTAAATGGGAAGATAAGAAGAGACTCATCATACATCACCTGAATGGGTCATTCATGATAGGTTGACATTACCAATAAACTCCACCTTGATAGTCATCATTGCTATACCCAGAGTTAGTGTCCATCCATATTATAATTTCTCCACCTTCTACAAAGTACCTACAATATGAATCAAATTCAATAATATTTAAATTTGTCCATTATAAAGACCTTCATCAACAATCTATGACATTCTCCTCTATGTGAACCTTCTCGAGAGATATATATCTAGAATTCACGAACTCACAGATCTTATGATACCACACATTAATATACTTTGACTATGTATGATAGACCTTATTCTTTGTCAAGTAAATAACACTCTAACTATTAAAATATAGAGAAATTTTACCTTGTTGGATCCTAAGTTCATTTAATAATTCCTTCAACTACAAGGCCTCCTTGGTCGGTTCAATAACTACCATATATTCTACTTCAATCATAGACAATGTGATAATAATCTGAAGTGTAGACTTTCAACAAGTCCACTAGTCATAGTGAAAACATATTTTGTCATAGATTTTTGATGATCTAAATCTTCAGTAAAATCTACATCAACAAAGTAGATAGCAAAAGATAATTTTGTTGGTCCAAATGGATTCTAAAATCTAAATAACCTTTTTGATATCGAAGAATCTATTATCAAATTAGTGAGAATAATGCATGTTTGAGAAATATTTCACAAATTATCATGTTCATTATTTTATTTTTTATTAAATGAAACTCTCTAAATCTTAATTTAAATTGATATTTTATAAATAAAAATAAAATTAATGAGAACTTATTTCATATCTTGAGGCTTAATTCTCATTTATTTTATTTTTAAATAAAATATTCTTGTGCTAAATTTTTATGATTAATTGAAATATATTTTATGCAATTTTTTTGAAAATTTTAGGTATTAAAATAAATATAATCAGAGCCATGTCACCGCCGCCGTCATACGAAAAAGTAGCTCCATGATCCAACGACGACTGCTAGTAGATCCAACGATCCAAGAGATGCCACATCGCAGCCACCAACGCACGAAAAGTAGCCGCCAATCCAACGGTGCACGACATCCGACAGACATAGATCCCGATAAGGGCACACGGAAGAGTGAAAGCTGATGGAGATCTAACGACGATTATTGTGTCCACGTATACCCTCTTCAAAGCAAAATGACAGCATGAGGATCCAACGGTTTTCATCGAACCACGCATCAGATAATACATTTACAAATATCGATTATCGTCTTGTAAAACAGATGATATCGATTATTCTCTCACAGGTGTAGAAGGGTATATGTGAAAATATTGATTATCATGTGGTAAAATAGATAATATCGATTATTGCCACGCGAGAAAAGGAGAAAATACCAGAAAAATTAGAGAAAAAGTGGCAAAATACGGCAGAAAATAGGAAGTCAAAACATAAAATACGATTTGCAGATCTGGGGAACAAAAAGGAGGAAGAGGGGAGAGAAAGGTAGCCTTTTTAGGAATTGTGCTTGGGTTATTGTTGAGAGAAAATATTGTTCTTTCTCATGAGAAAATAGGAATCTGAAGAGTGCATCGTTGATTTTGATTGTTCTCCTCTACCCTTTTCACCTTAAATCAATTCTGTTGAACTGGATGCAACACTGAGAAGCACTACCTAGAGGTCGACATCAAGGAATGCATTCTAAGGGTTGTCAATTTAATTTTAATTCATTTAATTTTTAAATTCGTATTTATATTTATTTGTCATTTTATTTTCTTTATTACTTTGAATATCAATTTAAATCTTCAAATCAATTTCATAATTCTTTAAATTAGAGAATAAAAAGATTTTTAAAAGCTTTCCCTAAGGAAACGACTTAGCTCACCACTATATCCATTTAAAATTATTTTTGGATAATCTAGTTGTATAAATTATTTAAATTGATTGATGATTCTAATAACGAGTTAGAACCACATCAGTTCCCCAATGTTTTATTGCTCATTTTCTTCTCCACTCTCCTTTCGTGAAGTAGTAGTAGAAGAATAAGAGGAAGAGAGGGAGAAAGGGGGAGAGAGAGAGAGAGAGAGAAATAAGGAGAGAGAGGGAGAGAGAGAGAGAAAAGGGGAGAGAGAGAGAAAGGCCTCCTATCTAATTTCGCAGGGAACTCCAATCCCCACCCAAAATGCTCTCTGGAATTATATCCCCTTCGCCACCGGTATTTCTCATTGCCGTCGCCACCTAACTGCCGAACACCGCCAGGGTGGATGGCGAGATGAAGAAGAACCAAATTTTTAATCAGTAGAGCTGCAGTGACCAAGAGGTGGGAAGCAGCTGGCGGGTTTTTAAAAATAGTATTTTCCAGAAGTGTACTATTTACATATTCTTATCTACCAAGTTTATTAAACTAACTAAATATATAAATCCAGTTGTAGACAACGTACAACAATAGATGTGTTATTCACAACCGGATGCCTTTGAAGTCACTGAAAAAACTTAGTCTCTTACTGATGATTTAAGTCAGTTCTCTTCGGGGAGTTGCATACTTGCCCACCTAGTTTATTTCATCCTTCACTATGACTTGATCCTAATTAGGAGCCTTCAGTGACCCGGGTTAGTCTAGAGCCCAGCTCTACCTGGATGGCCACTTACATTTCCTCGGGTTGGTCCAATGGACAGATTCAGTGCGTATTTTCTTACGTCGTGGTTGTCCAAGTATCAACTGTGTCCAGATTCAATGGAGAGAGAGAGACAGATAGAGAAAGAGCGAGGGAGAGAGCGAGAGAGAGAGAGGGAAGAGGAGGCATATGGGACTTCATCGACCGAAGACTTTAGATAAATTTGACACCGATGAATAAGCTAAAATCTGTCTCCGTCTTCAGTAACACTGCCAACAAGAGTAAATGGGAAAGGAAAAATGGCGACGTCGTCGTCGGAAGACTTGATAACAATGCGTCACCGTCAAAGGTGTTGAACTCCGTGGATGCGATAGCGAGAGAGAAAGCTTTCGCATCCAGCCACCGCTAGGGAAAATTTTCAAACCTGCAACTACCTTGATGGAACATGGCCGCGAACAGGAAGAAGTCGAAGGCGTGGGCCATGAGCCCCTTTTGGACCGCGACAAGGCTCCTCAGACCGATTCACACGACAATAAAAGAATATCTTATTTTACTTCTCTCAGTGGTCCTTTGGATCAGGCAGGCGCCCGTAACCCGTTCGCCACCGTCCCTCAACTCCTATAAATTGAGGCGCTGCCCGCTGATTCTCAGCATCAAACACCAAAGCTCGGAAGAGAGCAGGCGGTGGAAGGGTTGGGCGGAGGAGGTTAGGTTTACAAGTTTCAGCGTCCCCTCCGAAGGGTCAAGTAGCGATGACGCCCATGGCGGCTGTCCTGGCCCTTCTCTTGGCCTTGAGCGGTATGGTGGTGATCTCTGCTGACAAGTACCCGTCCCCTTCTCCACCGCCTTACCATTACAAATCTCCACCACCTCATCCACCTAAGGAGCACTACCCTCCTCCTCCAAAGAAGCACTACTACTACAAGTCCCCCCCACCGCCCTCTCCTCCCAAGCACTACTACTACAAGTCCCCCCCACCGCCTTCTCCTCCCAAAAATCACTACTACTACAAGTCTCCCCCTCCACCTCCTCCGAAGAAGCACTACTACTATAAGTCTCCCCCGCCACCCCCTCCCAAGGTGCACTACTACTACAAATCACCGCCGCCACCACACAAGTACTGATAACGTCTCTACTGGGGTCATTTATGGCCAACGGTAGTGAAATAAGAGCCAAAGTCATCCCTACCCCAGGGGGCAGGGTACTCTGGATTGGATCCAGAACCAGGCAGCTGTTGGGCATGGAGGAACAAGACTTGGAAGCCTTCACGTTACCTGAAATGTTCTACTTTATCACTAGTTCATAAGTCTCTGTAGAATAACGTGTTACTGGACTCAGTCTGGCCTCCTTAGCATTGTTTCGCCAGATGGGCCGGTTTCCTTTATTCCAGATGCTCCAGTTTGTAAGGCTTATTAAATAAACTGTATTTGCCGCACCTCTCTGTCTCTCTCTCCCGTTCTATAAATCTATATCCATCTACCTCTCTCTCTGCCCTGTCAGTAGCAAGAGCTGGGGAGAACCCTCCCTCTCTCCTAAGCCCGTGCATCATCGTCCCTCCGATTTGGCCTCATGTATCAGATGACGTCCTCTCTCTCTCTCTCGCACTGCGTTAATCTTCAATCAGCAGGACTTTTTGATGGGTGAAACCCTGAAAACTTCAAATAAGCCCTTTAGTGGAAGTGAACCACGTTGATTATCTGAGCCGGAATCCCCCCTCGACTTCTTGATCCCGCCGGTGCACACCGATGCTTCACCGCTGGTCTGATACTCATCCATGGCGGTGTCACTGAAGATGGAGAAGAAGACACGGACAAGGACCCTGCTAAGGCAGTGGCCAGCCTCTGCACGGTTAGCTTCGTCCTCGGCCTGCTGCTCAGCGGAAGGATGTGGGTGACGCTGCTCAGAGAGAGACGACAAGCCGAGGGACGTGATGGGGGAGGTCAAGAGCAATCGTGAAGCCCTCAAGTGAACTATCCTCCTCCCTCCATCCACACTCTCTCTGAATTATTCAAGGACAGTAGCACCTCGCTGTGAATCAGTTCTGTGGAGAAGACGATATTCTCCCCGGAGATGGAAGTGGCCACGGCGAGCACGCGCTGTGGCGATGGGGGGCCAGCAGTGGGAGGGCACTCCAAAGGGCGTTCGTGGTCGTAGGTATCAATTCTGCTTTTAGCAGTAAGAAGCAGTGGGACTCGTGTTGGAGTCGTGGAGGATCTCTTATTGGGCTCTAGGGGCGCTAATGGTCTCTATGTGTGATCTATTATTGACATTCTCTTCGTCTCCCTCTCTCGTGTTACATTTTGAATTAGATTTTCACTGTGCAAGAAGGGAGAAACGAGGATGCTCCAATCGTTAACAACTGGTATGAAAGCCTTTGGTTTGAGGTTATCCCAAGCTTTATAACACAAATTCTTAGCAAACTTGGTTTGGAAGAAAGAGTGGGAACAATGACGGTAAGTAAAGATAATGTCAAGATTGACATGTTCAATGGAAGAGACTTTGGATTTTGAAAGATGCATAGAGGATTATCTGTTTCAGAAGATAATATGTCCACTAATTCATGATTTGAAGCTAGATAAGATGTCTCAAAATGATTGGGAGCTGATGGACGGACAATTTCTCTAAGCAATTTGTTTGACCTTAATTAGAAATATTATGTTCAACATTTTGAATGGGAAGATTAAAAAAAGATATGATATGGTTCTCTCAAATATGTCTAATAAGTCATTGACATCGAATAAGGTTTTTTTAATGCAGCACCTCTTCATTTTGAAGATGACAGAAGGTACATCTCTTGTAGATTACATCAATGATTTCAATTCAACAATCAATAAGTTGATTATGAAATGATGAAATAATATTGATTTCAATTCTATAATCAACAAGTTCTATGGAAATTGATTTCAATTATGAAATGAGAGCATTAATTCTAATATCTTCTTTGCCCAAAAATTAAAGAGCCATGATGACTTATGGGAGCACTTCTTTAGGCTAAATAAAATTTAAATTGAATAAAGTATGTGACTTGATTTTAAGGGAGAATATTCTTAGGAGAGAATCAAGAGAAGTATCCATTTCTATAGAGATGTAATCTAGAAGAACACAACAGAGATGTTGAGGGAAGTATCCATTTCTATAGAGATGTAATCTGGAAGAACACAATAGAGATGTTGACAATGTGATCAACTACCTTACTATAAATTATGGATAGGTATAAATTTTCAACAATTCAGACATTCTTGTCAAAAGTAGAATTCAATGTATAACTTTGAATAGAATAGTTTAGAAGATGCTAAATTTGAGACATGTTTTAAGATTGAAGAATAATTTGATCTTGATGAGATAGCTGGATAGTGAAGGTTATATAACAATCTTTATGAATGGCTCATGGAAAATCACAAAAGGAGTCATGGTAATTGCAAAACAAACAAAAATGACACTTTATAGAAGACGATAATTAACCAAGATAGTGCAGTAGTAATTGATTTTACAATGAATAACAAGATTTGAAATTTTAAAGTGGGACATATGAATAATAAATAAATGAAATTATTAATTTCAAAAGGGAAGCTAGATAGGAATTGATTTGCAATAATAAGATTTTAAATTATTAATTTCACAAGATTTAAAATTTTAAAGTGGGACCTAGTAATTGATTCTACACTTGAAATTTGTGGAACTTGGTTCTTTTAAAGTCTGGAAAGAGGTTTTTCTTCTCAAAGTTTGGAGAACTTCTAAGACCAAAATGTTGAAGTTAATTCACACTAACATGTTACACTGCTGGTGCTCCTATATCATCATCAGCTCTTAGAGGAGTTTTGACCTAGAAAGAAGGTAAATCCCTTTTACTCAAAAATCATCAAATGTATTTGTTATGTCCTTATGGATTCAGAAAATAGAGACAAAATTGAAGAAATAATATTTCATTAGATATGGAATTAATGAGTTTCATTATTGATTTTTGGATAACCAAAATTAGAAATTATGAGAAGCCTTAATGTTATATTCAATTAAATAGTCTTATGTAGAGACAAACTTTCAGAATCTGATCATGAAGATTTCACAAAGTGTAATATCAAAGGATTTTAAAAGAAGACTTACACATGAGGGTTGAGGCTAAACTTGAAGATGAGAATGAAAATTAAATGTAGGATGTAAAGACATTTATCTTGCATTTAAACTAATAAGGTTCAATAGATTAGAAAACCACTTGTAATTTACCCTTCTATTCTACACTATCTATCAATAATTAATAATGGTGAATTTGTGTCATACACTTAAACTATGTGCAATGAAGATTCATTCAATTGAGAGCTAAAAATGTAAGATGAGGTAAATTCCTTGTAGAAAAATTAGACATGGAAACTACCTTTATTTTTAACCAGTAAGAAACACTTTTCAAAAAGTGAGTGTATTGTTAAGTTTAAGGTGGCACTTAGATGATGAATGGGGGTTGACTTGATCTATTTGTTTAATTTTGATTTTGGTCAAATTTTTCCAAAATCTTCAATCTTCTCCTTCAGATACTAGATCATAAGAATTTCTTAGATCTATAGGTGTGAGAGTTACAACACATCTTGAGGGGGAGTTTGATAGGCCCCTTTTTTTCGTGAGGTGGATGGACCTCTTGGTTCACTAGAGGGATTCCCAGGGTATGAGGATATTGTCAAGGGTGCGATAGGTTAAAAGAGAGAGAAGTAAGAGTTGGTTGTGTAGATGATAACTAAGAGTAACCAAAAGGAGTGCACCCTAATACATGACTCGTACCAGAAAGGTACACAAGAGAGAGAATGAGAAAAGGGAGAAGATCTAAAGGGAACTAGGCAGTTGCCTAATATCAGCCACTTAGAGGGGGTTACTTCACTTCATGACGTGACTTAGTTATTGTATATTAAATCACGCAAATCTAAAATTTATAAAACTAGAAAATATGATTTTTCAGATATTTAGAAGTATTTCTGAACAAATATATCAATTATAATTCAATAAAACTTCTAAAAATAGCAGTAATTTTTCAGATCGATCACAGGGATGTAATATAATATTTGGTAATTATTCAGATTTTGTCTCAATGAATATGATTTACTATGAACTTTATACTAGGAAATGAAAAGAAAATATATTTAAAATTCATGAAAAAAAGGAAATAAGGGTGCGGACGTCAAGATGACATCAGCGCCCGGCGAATGCGAATCGAGCGGAAACAAAGTTCCACTTGGTGATTCTTACGTAAGCGATTACAGATGATTTTATTAATCAAATTAAGATCTGTAAAAGCCGGAAGAATCGTAATTAAACGAAGTATATTTTGGTAAATTAAAATCACACAAAGTATCAATAAATGAAGCGTAAATTAAGTTGAAAGTAGGAAAACAGAGTTCCGACGTCGCGACGGCGATGCGTCAGCGATGCATCAGAATCCTGAGCGTTCGGGAGGATCGTCGTGTAGTGTCCACGGCCTCGAAGGCTCTCCTTGGACAAAGACGACGTGGGCAATCTCTAGATCTCCTTGCAAAGTCTAGAGATTAATGAATCGGGTCGTCGACTCGTCTCCGGCGGCTGTCACCTGGCGGAGCGGAAAAACGGCGACTTTGCGGCTCTCTGGCGGCTGTCACCCGACAGAGAGGAGCTGGATGGAGGTGGGGCGCGTGTCAGGGAGCTTCATCCTCAGGTCTGCACAGCAAGAGGAGGCTCTTCATCGCATCTAGTACGCTCTCAGGAGGTGGCGACTCGTCTCCCGACGGATCGTCCTCTTCCCGACGACGGCTTATTTGTCGATCAATCGAAGATGATTTACTCGATGGATTCGTGATCCTTTTATCGCGAATCTTTCAGCAATTTTAGTAATAATGCTCTGCGAATCGTGTTGACAAGATTTTCGTCGATGATCCAGTGATTTTGGTTGCTTAATCCTTCACCGGCGATTTGCAAGAAAGTCACGATAATCAGATAAAAATATGAGTTTTGGCTTTGGGAGGATTCGAACCCACGCCGATTGCCCCTGTCTCTTCTGAGGAAGGTGACGGGTTTAGTCCCACATCGGTTGTGTGCCGAATTTTCGAGCAAATATATAGTAATGTTACATATTTAAGCAAAGTCCCTTTCTCGCGTGTGTACGACCACT